GTCAATGTGAAGGTGAATTCTGCATTCCCCTAAATGTTCCAACTTTCCAGAATTTTTTTTTCATACCATAAGGTAGCTTTGAGTGTGGCTAGAGAAAAGAGTAAGGTTTTTAGCCACAAATATCAAGATTAAGCATTAGTAGGAAATTCTCTTTTCAGGGGCAGAAAAAAATGTCTAGCAGAAACTGATGAGCACACAATGAGGTGACTAGTGAGAAATTTAATACAGGAAGATTTGGATCTATTCATTCAGGATCTTAAGCTATTAGTTCATGAGAGATATTAAAAAGAAATAGAGATTCTTGGTGATATACATACATATATATACATATATATGTCATGCATTAAGAACTGGTTTATATGGATTATGTTTAAGAAATATTATTTTATCAAATTTTATTAAAATGCATGGCACACAAACATGCATTATATTTGTACAAATTTATAACATATTGAATATATGATGATATGAGTTTATATGTATACAGATATAAAATATATATAGAAAAATCATCCCTTCCTCATTATCTTAACTATTTGACTTTGATAAATAAGCCTTTCAAACTGGGCTTCAATTCATCCCTCTTAGTACCAGACTACTGAAGCACTCACTTTTGCTTGCTCTCTGGTATTACACACAATATAAAACACGTTACTAAAGAAGTTTATGAGAAGTTGACTTTGAATGTCATTATTTTATAAATGTAATTCTGTTAATGAAGCTAGTTTCCACAAAATTAATTAAAAATATCTACTTAGTCCAAGCTAATTATACTAAACAAATGATATAGAAATTAATCTGAGGAACCAGTAGAAAGAGGATTTTGCTACACTGCAATATGGCTTCATAAGAACTGATGATTTGATTATTGATGGGCATGTCATAACTCCATAAATCTACTGATATGGAATGGATACTGATAAAAATTTTCTTTTGATTTTCCATTGAGGAAAGTACTAACTAGAGAAAACAGACTGAAAATAGCACTCACATGAAGCAGGAAAATGAAACAAAATAAAACAAAAAATCAAAACAAACAAATACTGAAGTCATTTAGAGTCTAAATTAAAAATTTCTCAAACATAAGGTAATTTCCTTTTATTAACCTATCAAGAAAGAAAATCTATAACAAATTAAAGGAATGGAAAACACACTCAAATCTAACAAAGTTTTGAGATGGGTGACTGTGGCTCATGTCTATAGTCCTACCTACTTGGAATACTGAGATCAGGAGGATTGCAGTTTGGAGCCAGCCTGGGCAACTAGTTTCCAAGACCCCATCTTCAAACTAACCCCACAGCAAAACAGACTGGAGGTGTGGCTCAAGTGGTAGAGAGCCTGCTTTGTAAGTGTGAAGCCCTGAGTTCAATTCTTGGTCCCAGAAAATAATAATAAAATAAAGCAAGTTTTGAAATGAAATATACTCAAAGGAATACTAGTGTGGACTTTTATACATTATCTTAGGTGTGTAATTGCCTTATATATCTTTTCATTCTATTTGATTTTTAAATTGACAGATAAAATTGCATGTATCTATCATGAATTACATAATATTTAAATTACACATCATTATTACCATCATGCATTTCTTCATTAGATTATTGTATAGGATTAAAGAATGTTAGTATATACACATGATCTGATTTCAAAGTTCAAAAGATGTGTCGAAGAATGATCTAGGTTTGTTTTTCCTACTAGAAATGAGAGATGTGTTTAGATTACAAATAGTGACCTTTAGCACTAAAGTAATCTAAGAATAACTTAATGGCCTACCAAGTATGATCAATTCTTTGGTTACAAGCCATTAGTTTATTTAATACAACTATATTGATTTCCTATTGTGCACAAGTTTATGGTGTATTGAGTTTTGACAATAAATAATCAAATAAAAGATCAAAAATAAAGGAGTACTCTTACCACAATAAAACAAAATTAATAAAAAGGAATTATGGAGGAGGTACAGATTTATAGTATGGTACAGAGATGTGTTTACAGAAATTGGTTCTAGAGTGTCTGGAAACCTTAAAGGAAGATATTCAATAGGCAAAAAAGACATTCAACAAGCAGAAAAGCGTAGTTTGTTGATATATATATTTAGGAATTATATATAGGAAGCATATGACAAAATAGTATGGATTAGGGTCTCCATGTGCATAAAATAAAGTAAAAAGTGCAACAGACCACTGAGTTCCAGGAAAACACCAGTTCACCAGAAAGTGTAAAAACTTTTAGGAAGTATCAGATAACAATTTCAAGAACCTATGTGGGTGGCCACCAGAAAGTTAGTATAGAAGCCTCTATACTAACAAGGGGAACATAACTAACAAATAGACTACACTTGTCAACTAAACACAGAGTCCAAACTACTCTAAGACCCAGAAGAAGCACAAGTGTGATTACTGACCTTGTAGACTACTAGGTCCACAAATTCAGACTGCCACTGTCATCAGAAATTGCCAAATCAACAGGAAAAACTGATCTTCTTGTGAGATCCTGGCTAAGGCTGAAAATCTGCTGATGGACAGATTGCATATCAATGTGCCAGGATGTTCATGACAGGTAAATCAAAGTGTCCCATTAGAGAGTTTCTCTGGATACTGACAAGAGTTGACCCTTCTACTGAGTGTGGAATAGTCATCTCCATGTTCCATTGAGGCCACATTATTCAGGCCTACATGAACACATTCGTTTTCTGTTCACTTTTTATAAGAATATTGCATGAGATAATGGTCCTAATTTCTCCCAAGCTATACATCAGTGAGCCCAATCATGATACATAGGATAGCCTTTCTGTGGTCAATATCACCCCTAGCACAAAGGTAATTTTGTGTTTTAATGGACAATTATAGACTTAAGAAGCTGATAGAAGAGGACAAATTAAACCCACCCTAGACTGCATGTCTTAGGTAAGCAATCTCACTACGGCAGTTTCCTAAAAGGATATATGTTATTTGTGCTGCATTTTTTGCCATATTCTCTCTCTCACTTCCACCATATAGATTTCATTACAGTCACTGATACATTTGTCTTTGTAGGGGATCTTGCCAAGCCTGCCAGTCCCTTCAGTCAGTTTCCAAAGATTCAGAGGACAGATTTAAATGGCTGCTAACTATGCCAGGGAGGTTTCCTAAGTTGATTTTGAAAACCTTTAGAAATTCAACTTTCTGTAAACTAATTCATAAACATGATGTGTCTTTCTGTTTAAGTTTATATGAAAATGTTTTACTGTAAAAAATTCTTTTATACCTCTTAAATGCAACACTTCACATAGAAGGTCTACATAAATATGTGGAAAAATGTCAATGAAAAATATTTCATAAGACATAATAATAACAACAGACCAAAACCTTGGTACTTAGGGAAACATGGGAGAGATGAAGAGTTTTATTATTCATTGTTTTTCAGATGTGAAACTTAAAAGTTTACCCTTTTTTCAAAGAAAAACAAAATAAGAATAACTTCCCCATGCTGCCTTAAGCTCTGTGAACTTGCAACAGTGACTATGAGATAACTGAGAATGCCCTCAGCTCCTATGCTTTCCACAAGAAAACACCTGCAGGTGTCCACATTAGGGAGATGGACAAACCAACATCACAGACAAATAAAACTGTTGGAGATAGACTGTCTCTGGCAGTTCCTCTGAAGCAAAAGCTTGAAATAAAATCTTAAGACTGGACTGGAAATTCTGAGACAGGAAGTTTCCCTGAAAGTCAATTACCTTGGCAGCTCTTTCAACCTGACTACCCTATCAATGTATGTCGTGGCTTGTTGTTTTAGCATCAGAGAGGTACTGAGATAGTGCCACTGCCCTCTAGGACAATGTTTTTTGTGTGTCTACCCTGTGTGTCATGATATTGCTTCAACTCAGGTCAACTTACTGACCAGAGTTATACTATGCTTAAATTCATGCCTTGGGCAGGTTTAAAAAAAAACAGACCCTGGTGGATAATGGTACATCCTTTCCTTGCTAGGTAAACTTTAGGACCCATGCGTGTTTACATCAGTCCTCCAGGAATATATCATCATTTGGCTTGGAATGACCTTGATCATGGCCTCGGTACATTGTTGGTTCAGGTTAAATTCTGTCATAGTCCTTCAATGTCTGACTTATTCAATTCCATGATGATATAGCTTGATTTTCACTTAAATACTAAAACTCAAAAGTGGAGTCAAGGAATCCAGCTTCTGGTTAAAATCCTATGTGTGATTTTCCAGGCTTGACCACAGGCATGTACAAGATTTTATTACCTGTCAGGTTCCTTGGGAAGACTTTCCTTCCCACACCATCCATGGTGGACTGCTACTGCACTGCAGTCTCTCTGAGGGACTTAGAGTCAAGGATTTAGACCCCCCAGCTGTTCACACTCTTTCACATGTTTATATTTCAAGACCCAGATCCTTTATCATAATGCTCTTTATCAGCATTTGACTTAGGGAAGCAGTGAATCCCTTGAGATACTTTACTCCACTCAAAATTAACCCAGAGCTTTTCCTTTCTTCCTACTTCCTCCTTCTGAGCCCAACATCTTTGAAACTATTGTTACCTTTTGTTTTGAAATGGTTAATGACTTAGCCAGAGGGGAGCCATTAATCAGGTGCCATTTACTTAGCCAGAGGGGAGCCATTAATCAGGTGCCATTTTAGCTTTCAAGCTGAAGGAGGTTCATGCAAAGGTCTGGTTCCCATAAAAAATGAGGAAAACAGAAGGAGCCAAACCAGGATGTGGTTAAACGATTGTGTTTTGTTCACTCATGCTTATAGCTAACAGCCATTGTCTCACTTCTGTTCCTGGGCTAGCTTGCTTCACAAAGATTGCCAAACAGGATGTGGTTTTTGCCTTTATAAACCCTGCTAAAAGTTAGAGAGGTTGTTGGGCTCTGAGACCCAACAACCTGTTGGTCAGGGCAGTCGCCAGCTAACTAATAAAGACTCTCCCTTAAAGTCTTTCTTAGGTGGTCATGCCTCATTTTACCTTACAACATTTGGGGGCCCCAGCGAGATCCTTTTAACAACCCCCAAGACACTGGTAGAATCTTGATCTCTTAGTGCTCCACAGAGCCCAATGGGGTGGAGGCCTTAGGGGGTGGCCGCTGAGAGACATTCCTCAGCCCCAAGACATACCTCCTTACCCTCACAGGAGACAAGTGGAGTTGGGAGACATCAATCCTCACAGCAGAGAGTCATCTGTTCAGGAAAACTTCCAGAGGTAAGGGGGATTCAATGGAAGGCTGGATGCAGCATTACTTCCCGAATCCCGGGCAGTGGTGAGATATCACCCCGACCCCTGGTCTGTCTGGTTTGGTTCTGTGTGGCCACGAGTCATTGTTTTTGTTCTGTGCATCTGTTTTTGTGTTCTACATTTAACATCTTTGGACCACCCCACGTGACCGGAAGTCAGTTGGAACTGCACCATGGGACAATCTTCATCTGCCTCCAGCCCCTTGATATGTATGCTAACTAACTTTTCTTCATTCCAACAAAAGGCTTCAGACCTGGGGGCCTCCTGTGATGCCTTTACATTAAGAAAATTCTGTGAATTAGATTGGCCTTCATTTGATGTGGGATGACCTGCTGAGGGGACCTTTGACTTGCCTACAGCCTACCGGGTAGAACAGGTAGTCATGGGATGGCCTGGCCATCCTGACCAGATTCCCTACATTCTGATCGGGATTGAAGTCTTATCTGAAAAGCCTTCCTGGCTACAAAAGTACATAAAAAGAGGCACAGGCTGCTCAAATGTTCTCCTTTCTGCTAAGGCCCCCCAAACAATCATTATCTGCACATCCAGAAAGTAAAAAGTCTGTCCTACAGGATGCCTCACTGGACAACAATTCTCTCTCACCTCCCCCTTACCCGCCCACCAACTTACAGGACTCAAGCCAAGTCTTCAGTCCACCACACACCAGGAGCAGATCTTCATATCAGCCCCTGGAGCCAGGACCCTTGGCATTAGGCTCCTCATCTGGTCCCTCAGCCCCTATTCCCCCTTTATGACAAACTCCCAGAGATGGGGCCCCTTTCATGATCTATGTGCCCTTTTCAACCACTGATCTCTATAACTGGAAGCAACAAAACCCTTCTTTTTCTGACAAGCCCCAGGGACTAATCTCTCTTCTTGAGACCATGTTTTTCATCCATCAGCCTACCCAGGATGATTGCCAACAGATCTTACAGACTCTCTTCACAGCTGAAGAATGTGACTGAATTCAGCAGGAAGCCAGAAAACATGTCCTGGGCCCTGATGGGACTCCCACCAGAAATCAGGACCTTCTGGAAACTGTTTTTCCCTTGGTCCAAATTCCCAGGCAGGTAAGGAGGCTCTCACCAACTACTGCTGGCTCCTTCTTATGGGAGTCCAAGCTGCAGCCTGGAAACCCACAAATTTGTCTAAGATAAATGAGATTATACAAGGCTCAGATGAGTACCCTGCAGCATTCTTGGAGTGCTTCCTGGAGGCATATAGGACACACACTCCTTTAAACCCAGAGGCAGAAGAAAATAGAAGGACAATAAATATTGCTTTTACTTCCCAGTTGGCCCCGGATATTAGAAAGAAATTACAAAAGCAAGAGGGATTTGAAAGAAAATAATTTTCAGAATTAGTAGAAATAGCACAACATGTCTAGAATAATAAAGACATGCCAGAAGATAGACAGGCCAAAAGGCTTTCAAAAGTGATGGTGGCAGTTCTGCAAGCTCCCACCTCCAGACCCTCAAGAAGCTCTGGGCCTTCTCCCAAGCAGCAGTTTACAAAAACTCCTAGAGCCCCACTTGAAAAGGACCAATGTGCTTATTGTAAAGAAAAGGGACACTGGAAAAATGAATGCCCTAAAAGAAAAGGAGGGAACCAAAAGTTCCTCCAACTGGAGTGATGGGGCCAGGGCTCCCTGCCCCCAGCTCATGGTCACCCATTAACTGGGGGGCAAATCAGTCAAATTCTTATATGATATTGGTGTGGCCTATTCAGTTATTAAAAAACCAGAGGGCCCCTTATCTAAAGAAAAATTGTCTACTCAAGGGGCCACAGGAACTCAACAAGACTACCACTGGTCAGAAGGCCGAATTACTAACCTAGGAGGAGGGCCTATAACCCATTCTTTTCTTGTGATTCCTGACTGTCCCTACCCCTTGCTGGGCCAAAACCTTCTACACAAGTTACAAGCCACCATCTCCTTCCAAGAAGAAGGAACTTATCTGGACACCCAAGGCCAACCTCCTATCAAATTGTTGTTGACTTGTCCCTTAAGTGAAGAATATCTTCACTTAAGATAGAACAAAACCACCAAGAGACCCCCTACCTGTCTGAACTCAGAAAAAGGATTCCCCATGTATGGGCAGAATCTAACCCACTGGGGCTAGCTAATCATCATACCCCAATAGTGGTCCAACTTGCTTCACAGGCAATGCCTACACAAGTTAAACAGTACCCTATTAATATAGAGGCAAAATGAGGCATTGCTGTCCACATCAAGAGGCTATGGGAAGCGGCAATTTTGGTTCCATGTCACTTGCCATGGAACACACCTCTCCTACTTGTCCGAAAGCCAGGCACTAATGAGTATTGTCCTGTCCAAATCTAAGAGAAATAAACAAGAGAGTAGAAACAATCAATCCTACGGTTCCCAACTCTTATACTCCCCTCAGCCTCTTACCTCCTAGCCACCAAGTATACACTGTCTTGGACCTGAAGGATGTCTTCTTCAGTCTCCCGCTAGCAGAGTTGAGTCAACCCATTTTTGTCTTTGAATGGACTGATCTGGAGGAAGGATTTTCTGGCCAATTAACCTGGATGGGACTGCCACAGTGGTTTAAGAACTCCCCTCCCCTGTTTGTTGAAGCCCTCAGCCAGAATCTTATAGCGTTCAGAGCAGAACACCTGGGGTTAGTCCTGTTATAATCGTAGATCTCTTATTGGCAGCTGAAACCAAGACTGACTGTAGGGAGACCACTGAGGACCTACTTAAAGATTTGGGAGACAAAGGGTACCATGTCTCGGCTAAGAAAGCCCAATTGTGTACTCCCACGGCTACTTACTTGGGCTATGATCTGACCCAGGGAAAAAGGACTCTCAGCAAGGGGCATATTGAGGCTATCCTCAAAATTCTGCCACCAAGAACAAAAAGACAAGTGCGGGAATTCTTGGGAGCCATTGGATACTGCCGAATCTGGATCCCTGGCTTCTCAGAGATAGCTAAGCCCTTATACGTGGGCACCAGTGGGGGAAATGTCCCCCTAGAGTGGGCTGAGACAGAACAACAAGCTTTTGAAAAGCTAAAGCAGGCCTTGGTGTCAGCACCAGGGCTTGCCTTGGCAGACATCCAGAAGCCCTTCTACCTTTATGTAGCTGAAGTAAGGGGCATAGTAAAGGGGGTACTTGCTCAGACCTTAGGGCCATGGAAAAGACCAATTGCATACCTCCCAAAGAGATTGGACCCAGTTGCAGCAGGATGGCCAATATGCCTGGGAGCCATTGCCGCCATGGCTATACTGGTAAAAGTGGCTAATAAACTAACTCTGGGACAAGTGCTCCACCTAGTGGCTCCCCGTGCAGTAGAAGCCCTTTTAAAAGCCTCGCAAGACAGATGAATGACAAATGCTTGGATAACTCAGTATCAAGCTCTGTTGATAGATCAAAACACAGTAAAGTTTTAAAGACTGCTGCTGTTAACCCCGTTACTCTTCTTCCAGACAACGCAAGGAGCCCATTTTGACTGCCTAGAAACCCTTGAAAACACCGGAGCCTTTGACTGGACCTGACTGATGTTCCCTGGGGAGAGCCAGATGAGGTACTGTTCACCAATGGCTCCAGCTTTATGACCAACGGAATAAGGTATACAGGGGTAGCAGTAGTCACTCTGGACTGGACCATCTGCACCCAGGCACTTGGACATGGAACCTCAGCCCAAAAGGCTGAACTAATCACCCTGACCCAAGGTCTAAGGTATGGAGAAGATAAAGTTATCAATGTATATACAGATAGTCAATATGCATTTGCAACAGCCCATGTACACTGAGCCCTATACAGGGAAAAAAGCTTCCTTACCTCCCAGGGTAAAAATATTAAAAATGCCCAAGAAATTCGAGCCCTCTTAGAGGCCCTCTGGCTCCCTAAAAAGGTGGCCATTATTCGCTGCCGTGGTCATCAAAAGGGGACTACCCTGAGGCAAGGGGAAGCCGAGCAGCTGATCAGTCCTCAAGAACAGTTGCCATAAAGCCAGTAGGGACTCTAGAGATCCCTCCAGCTCTGTCATCATGACCAAATTTCATAGAACAGGACCTGAAATTAGGGAGTGGGCCCTCCAACTAAAACCAAGCCCCTCTGGACGGAAAATGTTGCCAGATGGAAGAATATTTCTCCCCCAGTCTCTGGGACACACACTCATAAAGGACCTTCATGACACCACTCACTTAGGATCCTCAAAATTAACTGAACTTTTAAGAAAATGGTTCTTTATCCAGAACTTAGAGCCCCTGGCCCGAGATCTCACTGCAAGGTGCAATGTATGCCAATAGGTTAACCAAAAAGAACCACCCTTGGTTGAGCCAGGAATGAAAATGCGAGGTTCCTTCCCTGGAGAACAATGAGAGATCAATTTCACCGAAATCAAGCCTGGCTTGTATGGGTATAAGTATTTGCTGGTGATGGTCAATACGTTCTCTGTATGGACTGAGGCTTTTCCCACAAAAACTGAGACAGCTCAGATTACTGTAAATAAACTTCCACAAGAGATAGTTCCCTGATTTGGCCTCCCCTTAATACTGGGGTCCAACAATTTCCCAGCTTTTACAGCTAAAATATCTAAATTAATAGCCAAAACACTGCAGATCAAATGGAAATTATATTGTGCTTATAGGTCCCAGAGTTCAGGGCAGGTAGAGAGGATGAACCGGACTCTAAAAGAGCTGCTTACTGAGCTCTCCTTGGAGACAGGCGATGGTTGGGTGAACCTCCTTCCTGCAGCCCTTTTAAGGTTTAGATGTACCCCTTATAAACAGGGTTTCACTCATTTGAGATCCTCTATGGATGACCCCGCACCCCCCATAATCCCCAGATTGGGGGAAGAAGCCTTAACAAAAATTTCTAATCATGATCTTCTCCAGTCTCTCCAGGCTTTTCAACAGACTCTCAAACAAATTCACTCAGCCGTTCAACAGGCCCAAGGAACGGAGACATCTGACAGTCCCCTTGGGACTCGTTACGAGCCGGGAGACCTAGTTGGGTAAAAAGATACCAACCTGACAGCCTCAAGCCCCTCTGGCAAGGTCCCTACACTGTGATCGTGTCCACTCCCACAGCTGTCAAGGTAGCTGAAAAATGCCCATGGATTCATCATACTTAGCTCAAGAGAGCCTTCACGGAAAACTCTGACCAGTGTTGGACAGTTGTCAGACCTGAGGCTAATCAGGACTCCCTCAAGATAAGACTTAAATGAGTTCCTAATTAATTGTCCTTTTCTGTTCCTCAAAGATGTTATTCCTGTATCTGTTTTTAATGAACCTGCCCCCCTTAGAATTACTTGTTGCTTTTAACCTTCATGCACACCTCAACCCCCACCAGCCTTGAAATGTCACACAGGAACTTCAAGACTCCATCACAGGACAAGTAATACAAAGACTTATAACCTCAGACCAGCCCACTTTTTCCATAGATATATGTGATCTCTTGGGGAAAAGCTGGAATTTAAACATGTATAGAGGAAAGAGGGGAAATTTATGTGGATGTGGTCTCTGCAATTTAGAAAAAGGGCTACAGACTAGACAGTGTTATGTTTGCCCAGCCAATGCACCTGGCTGCCAGGGCTCAGGCCAATACCATTGTGCCAGATGGAGCTGTGTAACTGAAGCCCCTGGATACATAAATGACCCCTTTATCTCCATCACAGATTCTCACAGAAGCACTCCCAGCAATAAATGTAGAAGGGGAACTTGCAACCCTTTAAAGATAATCTTAAAGTCCTGGCAACCCTGGTCAAAGTCCATGTGGGAAATGGGAAGAACATGGGGCTTTCGATTATACGTAACTGGTTAGAGATCCAGGGACAGAGTTTACCATCCAGCGCATGGAGGAAATAAGAGAAGAGGTCCCTATTAGCCCTAATACCTACAACCCCTACCAGATTCCTCCTAGTCCACTTGCCCCTGGAGGCCCAAAAATAAGAGACCACAATTCCCCTTGCCAAACTCCTCCCACTTTGAGACCTACTTGGAGAGGCCTATTTAGGACTATAGATGCAGTTTTTAGAGCTTTAAATGCCACTCACCCTAATCTAACACAAGATTGTTGGATTTGCTTAAATCCTGAGCCACCCTACTATATAGGTCTTGGGGTAGATACCACCTTGGGCTTCAGAAAACAGGATGTTCAGAATCGGACCCAAACTGAAATCACGGAGAATAAATCTGTCTGTCTATGGGGATTTAACCCCAAACTCACCCTTGGGGACCTCCAAGGACAAGGTCTCTGTATTAGGATTTGGGGCTACAATATTAAACTATCCCCTTATCAAAATTCATGTGCAAGAAATCATCCTCTTGGATCCGGGCGATGCCCCCTCCTTCCTTGTGACCCTTCCTGGCACTTAGTTTGCCTGTACTATGGGAAGAACTCCCTGCATTAATTCTCACGCCTTTACAGGACAAAATCATGAGAAGCTCTGTGTATTAACCTATATCATTCCCCAGGTTTACCTATATGAAGGGGAAGCAGGCAGACAACACCTACATATTCCCCCACCTTTTTCTAATCACAGAGCTAGGTGAGCAGCCCCTATTCTGGTACCCATCCTGACGGGACTAGGTATAGCCGGATCATCTGCCTTAGGAGCTTCTGCATTGATAACTGAAGATATAAACTTCAAAACCCTAAGTAAACAGATTGACCAAGATCTTCACAAGTTAGAACAATCTATTACCAATTTAGAGAGTTCATTAGATTCCCTAGCTGAAATGGTGTTACAAAAGTGCAGGGGTCTAGACTTCCTATTTTTAAAACAAGAAAGACTATGTGTGGCTCTGGGAGAAACCTGTTGTTTTTATACAAACCATTCAGGGATAATTAAAAATAGCATGACTTTAGTAAGAAAAAAATTTAAAGGACAGAGAAGAACTACTCTAATAATGGCAATCTCAGAACCTCTAATTCTACTTATCTTGGGACTAACAGGGAGGCCCTGTATTTTCAATGCCTTACTTAAATTTATCCACCAATGCATTTCTTCCATCTTGAGAACTAGATATGATCCTATCCAGTCAGAAGAGTCTATGATTTGACTCTGTAACGAAAAGCAGTGGGGAATGAAATGGTTAATGACTTAGCCAGAGGGGAGCCATTAATCAGGTGCCATTTTTGCTTTCAAGCTGAAGGAGTTTCATGAAAAGGTCTGGTTCCCATAAAAAACGAGGAAAACAGAAGGAACCAAACCAGGATGTGGTTAAACGATCGTGTTGTGTTCACTCATGCTTATAGCTAACAGCCATTGTCTTGCTTCTGTACTTGGGCTAGTTTGCTTCACAAAGATTGCCAAACAGGATGTGGTTTTTGCCTTTACAAACCCTGCTAAAAGTTAGAGAGTGGCTGCTCTGAGACCCAACGACCTGTTGGTCAGGGCAGTAGCCAGCTAGCTAATAAAGACTTTCCCTTAAAGTCTTTCTTGGGTGGTCGTGCCTCATTTTACCTTATAACAGTTTAGTGAGATGACCCTCCATCTACAACAACTGACCTGGCCCTGAACTAGTACACGAGTTCATGGGAGAAAATGGAACTGAAGGGAGTGGGCACTGTCTTGAGTTTTAGCCTCTTACTAGAAATATAACAGTAAGTGTTTAAAGACATCAATTTGACTTTCTTTTGGGCTCCTTATTGCTAATATTCTGCTCTGACCCCCACAATTCAAGGCTCTTTCTCTCTCACTCTCTGTTTCAATTCTCCTGAGCCCCTAGACTACACATATAAAAATATCAAGAGGAGGGGTAAAGAAGATTTGCACTGTCTCTATTTCCAAATCAGTATAGAGGCTACTCATTCCTGAGAACTGAGACATTTTGGACCAGTAAAGCAGTCAGAGTTTTTGTTATATTATGTTTATGACATTCCTATTTATTTTTCCCAAAGTAATTGGTGTTAACCTTTTAATAAAATTGATGTGCCCCTGTCTTAGCAAAATCAATGTGTACTTCCCAAAGATTAATATGCCAATTAGAAGTTTATCTGTTGGAGATGGGAAAAAGAAACATGAACTGATGCTATCCCACTGAAAAGAAGAAAGGTATACATAAAAAATGGATCTAGATATGTAGATTATTTTCTGTTTAAGTCAATATCCCGGGATTAGATTTTCAGTACTAAGTTCCTCTGTCATATTTGACCTCTAATTATTACAGCAATAATCTTACTGGTTTATATTCACTTGTTTGGGACATGAAATCAGTATGTGAAGTCTTATTTCCTGAATCATAATTTGATTTAGAAAACTGAGGATGTGAAAGCAGAGGAACAATATATCGGTGAAAAGGTAATTATTCCATCTGCCATGCCACAGAAAAAGTGTAATATTATCACTGATTTCTATTCCTACAAGTATTTCTCCTTCCCCTGAGACCAATTACTTTCACTCATGCAATCTCAAATATGCTCCAAATATTATTGTTTAAGTTAAAATAAGGAGCAGTAGGTAAGTGTCCTTCTTTCCTTACAAAGTAAGCCTTTTACCTTCTCCTTGACATAGGATGGGACTAAATCTTGGACTTGTATGAGTTTTCCTCTTACCTCCAGTAGAGACAATGAGGTACTTACCCTTTCCCAGCATAATGCAATTAATGACTCTACTTCAACTATAAAGGCTGTTATACCTGTTGTAGCAGCTTCTTGGAGATGTTTCTCTACTGAAGTATTTCCCACTGATAACTATGGAAAACAGCAGTTCTATTTCCCAATGACTTAATTAATGAAAACCTTCTCTGGACTTTTCTCATTAGTTTCTCTTAGTGTTTGGAATTCCAAGAGTCTTAGTAAAGTATGGTCTTCCATTGATATAAATCATAATAAATAGATTATATTAATATATATTCTAAGGAAGAATTGCTTTAAAAAAATTGGAGACTTTAATGTTATTCTTTTACTTCCCACTCCCTGAAAGGGTAGTCAAATATTTCAAGGCTTATTGAATTTCCCTGAAGAAGACATAAATTTCATTGTAATAAAATTGCTAATTGTGTAAAATGCAATTACAAGATAAATTTGTTTACTTTGTTCAAGATATTCCTTTATCATAAGTTCTAAGTACAGACCCCTGAGCCCTATTCCACTGAGCCCTATTTTAGCCCAAACATACATGCTTTGTTTCAAGGGTTCCAATGTAGATTTTACCATAATGTGACAAATACCAACAATCTATATATTGCAAAATAATGGCACAATATAAACTCTTCCCTGTATGCAAGCTCCTCAAAAAGGGAATTGGCATCTCTCCCCACCAAAGAAGGTAATCTCTTTCTCTCCTCAAGTCCCATTGTGACTTAATTTGGCCAATGTAATATAATGGAAAAATTTGTGAGCCAGTTGTAAATCTGGTCCTCAAGAGGTCTTATACATTTAGACTCAACACCCTATCAGGTCACTGAGTGAACAAACTCAATTACCCTGTTACAAGGGATAAGCCCACAGGAAGGAAACTATAATTGTTTTAGTTAATGTTGTCCTAGTTGAGTCAGCTCCAGCTATTGACATTAGGTACATAGGTTACAGTGATCAAAGACTTGAAAAATCCCCCATTATTTTCTAGCCCAAATTGCCAACATACAAAATTATAATGTGATTTTCTATTTTTAGTCACTAATTTTTGGGTCATGTATTATATAGCAAAAGATAACAGATTGGGTCTCTTAAATTATCCTTTCTACCTCCATGTTGGTGACTATCCAATCCATTATTCATACCACCTCAGGAAAGTAATTCTATGAATGTAATTTCTTACTTAAATTTCTTCAGTGTGTTTACTTGTACATTGAATTAAACTCCAGTATCTCATAGCCTGAGTTACAATGTTTTGCATATTTTACTCCCTTTCATTTCATGCCTCTTACTCACTGTGCCTCATCTAAACATATCTGCATCTGGTTCCTATATACCACTCAGTTGCTTCTAACAGCAGGCATTTACAGAAATGATTTATCTTACATATTTTCCTGACTGATTCCTTCTTAGTCTTCAACTTTCAACTTACTTCATCAAATAATTCTGCTCTGTACCTGACTTCTAAATGGATATCCATGTATATCAATTATTTTGACTCTAATAATACTCTAGAAATGATTAAATCATTTGAATATCACACTACACTGTTAGAGTATATATCTTCTTCATCATATACAATTAAAATATTAAAAATTTAAAATAAAATTATTAGCATTTTAGTAATATGTAATAATTTATTATAAATAAATTTAAAACAATGGATAAATGCAAAATTAAAATGAAAATTATCCGGCATATTTGTATCCAAA